CCACCCTGGCAAGCCTTCTGGTACCTCGTTTTATTTTGCACGCCCTGTTGCTGCTGCTAACTTTCTTGCTGTGTCCATTTATCCATTCACTCTCATCCTATTATTCAAACTGAAATATATACATATATATATATCTGCTAATTAACTCGGTAACTTGATACATGTCAGTCGATTCTTTATACATTTTTTATTGCTCTAATGATTGTCTCTATATATTCGTTCGTGGCTGTTACTTACTGTCCTTTCCCGGAATGAAGGCGTCTGGAAAACTGCTCCAGGTTTACATTTTTGATGGTGCATTTGTCCAGATCGTTGAGGATAAGCAGGCTGAAGAAACTAACCAAAAACTATTTGTTTCTTGAAGGTTAATTGGGTGTAAAAATTGAATTTATAATTTGCGTTCCTTGTTAATTTTTGTACACAAAACTTTGAAGGTATGCTCACCGTGCCTATTCAAAAAACTGTAAAAATAACTAAAGAATTTTGCATGCTTCCCCAAATTTGTCAATTTTCAATCATTCCGCCCTTTTCCGGATTTCATAAGTTTATTTGCTTTTTTTGCAAAAATAATGTTTTATGGCATTTGATTTTAATGTGCCCATGTATCCCAACAACCGTTCTTTTTTGAGAAGCTCAAGAGTGCAAGAGATGAAGTGTCTCATCATCAGTCCTTTACTGGTTTACTATACCTTTGCCGTTTTGAAATCGAGAAAATTACTTTCAATATCTTTGTTTGTTTAAAAGCATAAAAAAGGGAATTGAATGCGTTTGAAATCTTAAATTTTAGTTTTGAACCAGGGATCCGAACTTCTGGAAATGTGATAAAACCTTGCAAAATGAAAATACGAAAGCGAGAAAGCATGTTACAATTTTTCAAGGTACAGTATATTTGAATAAGTGTTGTTGATCATATCAAATATGAAGCCATTAAATTCATAGAATTAAGCGTGAATCTTATAAAAAATCAGATATCATGAACACTCGAATTGAAACTTTTCTATCCAGGTATAGATTGGTGTACAAAAACAGATTCAGTTTTCTGGAGACGAGGTCAATGCTGTTGGAAACTGGTCAATTATCTGCAGTCTGCTTTTATTCATCAAATTTCGTCATATCCTTCATTCCGCGGAAAATAAGTTGGAATAATCCAGTAATTGGTCTTGTCTTTTTGAAATTTATTGTGGTGTGTTTTATTGTCATCAAGTCGGTGTACAGCACACAGGCTGTGTGATGAGGTGCTGGTTCATGGCGGTGAATGTCTTCGTTTTCTTGGTATCGCTGTCATGAATGCTTCCGTGGTTGCAAAGCGGAAAAAAAAAGAAACTTGGAAACTTTTGGAACTCACTGAATGGTCTGGGTTGTGAAAATTTCGAATCAAAATTCTTTCCGTGTCGAATGGTAAAACAAACAAAAAAACGAGAAAAGTTCAAATTATTATTGTTCCGATCACATGCTTGCAGCAATGGGAAATTTTCTTCCGTTCTCTCGTGACAGAGAGCTTATTATGTAGCAATCCTTGGTTAATTTTGCATGCTCGTGTGTATGTGTGTCGAAACGTAATTCACGTTTAGTGCTTGTCAGAATATAATTCTTTAGCTAGTTTTTTTGAGCAGTAGACAATTTTTTGAATAGAAGTTCAGTTGAAGGCTGTGCCAGAAAATTCCGTATCAAAAAGGCAGACTAGATTTGTTTTTGGTGTGACGTAGATATCTTATTATTGGTGGTGCGCTTCATGACCTCATAAAGAAGTATAAGGTCTGAAAATGATGGAGACGAGAGGTTTTCTATATAATTGCGAGAGAAAAAAAAATGAAAGATTTGATTGGTTTTAATTGAAGGCATAAATGGAATCAGAGGAGAAAAGGATGAATTGCCGCCTTTGTCCCCGATGCCATTGCAAGCCAGGTCTGCGTTGACAGCCAGAGATGCCACTGCAACTGCATTTCCGATAAAACTTCCTCTTCCGGGTCCCGTTGTCGTCGGCGGATCCGGTTCCGGTGGTACTACTTCGCCAAGTGGTAATATCAATAACACATATTTTTGTATTTATGCTCAAATATTACTGCTCAAAAACTCGAGAAAACAATTTTGAGTTGACTTCAAATTAGTGACAATTACATTGGAAGGATTTTTGTGTCGAATACCATAAACAAGAGATCTAAAAAAATTTGCTGAATATCATATGTGCCCATGCAAATCACGAAAAACTTGGATTTCCGAACGGAAAAAAAAAGTCTGAGTTGACGATATAAAAAAGTGGCTGTTCGTTGCTCGAACGTTAAACGGGTGTAAATATTGAATTTATATTTTGCTTTCCTTGTCATTTTTTTACGCATAACTTCGTTGGTATGCTTACCATGCCTACTCAAAATACTATAAAAATAACAAGAATTTCACATGCTTCCTCAAATTTGTCTTTTAATTACATTTTAAATATTGAAGAGGGAACTCAATATTTCAAAATA